CTACAGTAAGGTGAAATTCACAGATTTTTGGGTGAAATTTGGTCATGTTACCCTGTATTTTTGATTGTTACACTTCCCATCCTCATTTAAAATAATTGCAGTGCAGTCTGGGCAGCTGCAACATTGGTGTTTGTTACGACTCTAGCACTGGAATATTTCAAATTATGTCATTTTGGATTGTGAGCTAGCTTTTTATGTGGAATAAGAATGATGTCTTAATGACATCACAGAAATTTGTCCCAGGGGTTTTAAAGTAAAATGCAGGGATTGCCATTGTTCAGAGGAGTCCTTCACCGTGTGTTGTATTGGAGGTCATAAAAAATGCTCTCACTGACACCTTTCTTTTTATCACCTAAGATTTCCAGACAGTAATGACTGTAAGGGGACTTGGAAAACTCAAACTTGAAATTAAAAAGCTTAGATCGTATTACTATGATTTACAGTGAGGGGAAAAAGAAAAAATGAAACTGGCATATTTTTTAAAATTGTCCTTATTGCATCTTTACTTACTCTTCAACTACAGTTGAGAACTGGTCACTGGGTGATTGTCTTCTATGAGATGATGCTTCTTTATGTACAGCCTTCTTGAAGATCTCCCACCTTTGTTATTCCTCGACATGTTTGGCTTCATTTTATCATTGTTAAAGTTCCTGTGGATTTTTGCTGTGGGCATAAGTTAAGTTAATGGATGTTGAAGCAGTTAGATTTCAGGGGAATCAAAATTCAAATTTGTTAAATAACAGAGTAGGTTTTAACTGTGTAATATTCAGAGTGCTCAATTTAACTGACATGAAAGCTACAATTATAACTGAATAGTTTATCACTATGTATTAACCCTGTGGCCTTAGAAATCATACAGTGGCTTAGCTGTGTAAGCCATTGCATCACCCGCTTGTTGAACAATCCGCTGCCAAAACATTTATGTCCCATGCACTGAAGGATATTGCAATGAAAGGACTGAAACCTGCACTTCATTTCCTGAGTGAAGTAATGTAGACTTTCATCTCTTAACCACTGACATAACTATGTATATTATGGTTGAATATTTAGCAAGTGTCTAATAAAATGTCTGGGAAAGATAGCTGTCAGTTGAAAACTGTTCTACTTTATGTATTTGCTACAGTATGTAGAGAAAGTATTAAGAGGAGAAAAAATAGGTCAATATATAGCAAGCACTGTGGCAAATCAAATGAAAGGAGCCATAGAAAATCTACTGAAATCTCAATTTTGGTTAAAATTTTAGGTTTAGTTGAGATTGTGAGATAGATAAACTCTAAAGAGAGTTATATTTCCTTTAAAACATGCATTCAAAGATTTCAAAAGTAGCTTTGGTGGTTTTTGGAAACTATTTGCCTTCAGTTGCAAACTTGTTTGGAAACTAGGAAGCAGAACACATTAGAAGTGAAATTATTCAGAATAGTCCTCTGGAGTAAACTGGATTAAAGATGAGAGGAGAGAAAAGCAAAAGTAGTTCTGGGTTTCCAAAGCCCAATAACCTCAGAATAATTTCACTTGCTAAAAAAAATATTACTTGTGCAGTAGTTACAGAACGAAGAACACAGTCTACCCACTCTACCTTAAAATGCAGAAGAGTAGACTAAATCATTAGATTAATGTAGTTGCTGAAGTTATATTAGATCAAAGAGCAGTCAGAGGAACTGCTGCTTTAGTGGTTTAGTTCTAAAAATTGATCAAGTGCTTTCGAGTACATGACAGAAGAAATAGAAGTTCAGAGAAGTTCATGCATCTACATGGGAGAGGAAATCATTAGTCAGGCTTAGTGCTTTTGATATTGATACTGTTTATGAGTAAGTCTCAGTATGAAGCTTCGTAAGTAAACTTTAATATACTGCTGATTTCTTTGTCTTATTCTTTATAAATCAGCTGTGATCAGTTCTTGGAGATAGGTATTTCTTTATTCTTGCTCCTGCATACATTCTGTGTGTTTATACCGTACAAAAATATAAACACAAGTCATATTATCTGTGCACAATTAAGTATTAACTAGCCTTCTGGTATGGACACAAGAATAGAAATCCAAGATAAAGACACAAACTAAGAATTTTTGGTAGCCACGTTTGTCAAATGCGGCTTGGGAGGATGGTGAAAGAATAGGACATTATGGAAAACAGCATTAGTAGCTGGGAAGACATGTTTACACTATTGTGCAATGAAAGTGCAGTTTATTCCTGTAGTGTTCAGAGAAAGAGAAGTGTATGCCCACTCACTGTAAATAACAAAATTGCATCAGAGAAGTAATTTGTTCTATCGGTTTCCTTTCCAAGCAGAATTGACTTACTAGGCTTCAGATACTGTTTTGATCCTTCAGTAGAGTGACAGTAACCCTTAGAATTTGGGTAAAAATGTTTTAGACATCTAGTATAGTTTAAGATGTTACCTGCCCTTCAAAGGAGATTGCCCCACCTCTGGAAAGTCAACAGAATAGAGCTGATGAGCATTTGTCAGCCTCATCTACTCCTCCTGCAGCTGTTTAAATAAACAAGTTAGACTTTGTGGTAGTAAATGGCTAGCATGGGGGTTTGGTGAAGTCTTAAACGGAAGATTTTTCCTAGATGAATGTGTGTCTGATTGCTTAGTGTTTGCTGTTTGGCTTTAGGAGAGCTTATGGGAGAAGACAAAAGTATTTTCTTTCATCTAGGATTGTATTTATTGTTCTTTTCAAAATTGCTCCTGCAGATTACTATTTGAGAAATCACATGCCTACCACACTAACTCCACAGTTGCTGAGATAATAAACAAATACTTCTTAAACATTTTTTCTGAGCAATCTGGAACCTAGAACATGAGACTGTTTCATGTAAACATTTCTGTAAATATTTCAGTAAACCTTTATCTGCCTGTAGTTTTGGCCATAGAACTCTCTCTGTTATATAGGAGCTATAGATCTTGTTAAGTGTAAACCTAAGAAGTAGGTGGTGTTTGTTGTTTTGATTTAGTATTTAATGCAGTTGGAATATGGTCAATGACTCCTGTGTGCTACTGGAATATGAATAACCATTTGAGTGGAGTTGGTAGTTGTAGAGATACATCTTTTTCAGTTTTCTGTCCTGTAAGATTTGCTCACATGCCTTTGGAAGTTGACAAGAAGATAGCCTTCAAGAGCCGCTCTTTTGATCAGTAGCAGTGCCTGGCTCAGGAAATTAGTCTGATTGTGAAAGAGAAGCCTTTTCAAGAAAAGGTGTGGAAAAATAAACTGTTGCCTATCCCAGTCATTTCCTGAAACAGGGCAAAGTATTGAGTGGAATATTTACATCAGATCACTTCTGTGAGCTTTTTATCCAATGGGATGTCTCAGCTTCCTTACACAGTGCTTTTATTATATTCTCATTGTTCCTTAAATGAAAACAGAAATTTATGAGTCTGTGAAAAGTAAGGGAGTAGGCAAAAAGAGAGGACATTGCAATGTGAATAGGAAGTTAGGAGAATGGACTGATGTCTGATAGTGTCAGGAAAGCAGGATAGTTCAACAGAAATGTCGAGCACAACGAGGTATGTGTTTGAGGATTCTGGTATGAGAAGTACAGTACTGATGAAAAAAAGCCTGCAAAGATTGTGTAAGGGTGCCTTAAATGAGGTACTGGAGATTAACGAAGCCCTGGTGATGTAAAACTGGCTGGCAGAAGTCGTAAGGCATTTGGATCTAATGTTTGGGAGTAATTTTTTGACTGTTGAGCAAGCAGAATAAATATCTCTCATGAAGCAGTCCTTTCCTCAGTGCTTTCAGTCAGTACCTTATTGAATCAGGTCTCAAAAGTTGCAGAGCACATGACGTTGTGCCTACAGCAGAACATACCCTGAGCAGAGGGGGTTTCTTCTAAAATTTGTGTGTTGTTTTAATCACCACTAAACAAAGTATTCTCTGACATTTGCTGTGTGGTGAGGTGCATATTGCTTAGCTGAAGTCAATGAAAGCTATAGGTACGCTACAGTGCTGTGAGTCAGGTAGTTTGACGGAAAAGTAACCTGAGTCACAAGTGCACCGTTCTCTGTTTAACTGGACATGGGCAGGGTCTAATCTGAGGGCTGAACTGCGGCTTTTGGAAAATAAATTCACCTTTTACTGATCCTTTTTTTTTTCTGTTATGTAGTTTTCTCCTTTAAGTGACACTGCCAACTGGTTTTAGTTTGAAATTTGTATTGAAAGCTGATAATTTTTGTCATCAAGAATGCATTAAGCAGTGTTGCTTTGATTCCATCCCGGGTATTTACTTGTACATGAGCTGAATGAGATTTTTGGTATTTGGGTATTCATAATGGATGCAAGTGAACCTGAAAACAGAGGTTTTCTTTTCCTCTTTTTC